ATCGGTTTATTTTTTAGACAGACAAAATCTTTGGTATTTTGGGTTCGGTCATAGTCATGCATTTTAGAGTCGAGCTTAATAACCAAAAAAAAAAAAAAAACAAATTAAATGATACAGCTGAATCTTAATAACCAAATAATTTTGAAAATCAATGGTTTAGTTTTTATATTTTTATAACTGATAAATAGTAGTTTGGTTTTGGTTTTATAGTGAAACCATTTTATATATTATAAACCAATTCAATATACATATGTTCTATACTTCTATTATATATGAATCATAAATTATAGATAAATAAATACGGAGTAAGGTGCAAGCCTAATTAAAATTTTCAAATATTTCATGGTATTATTAACATAATGAATGCATGTAATTGTTTAAGTTATTTTATGCGGGAGCAGTTAAAGATTAGATATCGTAATGTGTTTACTAGCTAATTTCGACCTACCTAACAGTAATAGTTTAACCTTCTAAATCATTGTGTTCAACGCTTTCGCAACATATATATATATATATATATATATATATATATATATATATATATATATATATATATATATATATATATATATATATATATATATATATATATATATATATATATATATAGGGACGGGTTCAATAACGAACCAATATGGGTGGAGGAACCAAAGAACCTATTAAGATGGTTGGATCAAAATATTAACAACCATTGGATTTAAGATGTAAAAGTATGAAAAAACAATATTGTTCAGCTGATTATAACTAAACACGTAACTTATAGGGGCATTGTCCTCAAACTAAAACTTTTTAACTCTCACTGTTAATTAACGTCATTAGTTCATCAGTTTCAATTCAGTGAAATCGATTTTACCCTCTCATTGAAAGCGATCTTTTACTCCACCGACGACATCGATTTCAAACGAATCTCCGGCAACGATTCAGTCAATATCCATAGTGAATCTTCCCGAAAAGTTCGTCAAAATGAATCTAGAAGGTATATTTGACTGCTATTCACTTTCGATTATCTCATTTAATCAATTTTCAACATTATACTTTTTCAATTGATAAATTTCAAAACGACAAATCTAAACTATCTGTTACATTATGTATTCGATGAATTTGTTAATACACTATTTTATTAACAAAATCGTTTTAGACTGATTTGAAACCTCGTCGGATGATGAACTTTTAATAATTTGTATACATAACGAAAACCTAATGAATATATGTATTACAAATTAAAATTTCCTAAAACTTTGTGAATCTAACTCGAATATGAGTTTATTAAGTAAATCGAAACCCTAATTTCATGAACTTTTGAGAATTCGTATAATTACCAAAAACCTAATGATATAAATTTCTTCAAATCGATACAGAAATCATGAATATCTAAATTACAAACCGTAATTTCCTAAAAACTTTGTGAATCTAAGTGGTTTCTGAATTTATTCATTAAATTGAAAAAACTAATTTCGCATTTTGAATTCACAGTGTGCTTTGTGATTTACATTTGATTATTTTGAAAGGATTCAATGTTTCTGAGTATTATATTATTTCACAATTCACAAAGTGAATCATGATTAAATATCAATTTAACATATCATTTATTCAAATTGTGAATTCACAGGGTGATTTGTCAATTACATTTGATTTTTTTCATCTTGTGAAATTCATATTGTGTATTTATGTTTAATTCATATTGTATCTCTTATTCTGCTTCTCATTGTAAATTTATAAAGAGTTGCATTGGTAATGTTTTGATTCAAACTAAATTCACAATGTGAATAAATTATAACTTTCATACCATGAAATTGATGTTTGAATTAATTTGTTAATCAAAAACAGGAAATGAAGAAAATATCAATGAAAAAAAAGGATAATAAGAAAAGAATGAAATTGACAAGAAGTCTAAAAGATGTTCTACCTTCAACTACAAGTGAAAAAATTAAAGATATTCAAGATAAAAAAAAAGTTAGAACATTTGCATTCAAATTAAAATAACTAATTATCTAATCATATAATATACACTTATTAAAAAAAAACTAATTCACAATGTGAATCTTGGATGTGTATGTCACATTCAAACATATTCACAATGTGAATCTCTTAAAAACATTTTTTTTGCAAGTTGATCAACACTTTTATTTGTATTTGACTATGCACAATGTAATTATAAAAATTCACCATGTGTATGTGTACATCATTTGGTGAAACTGCTGTTAAATGCATAAATTCACAATGTGAATCTTGGATGTGTATGTCACATTCAAACAGATTCACAATGTGAATCTCTTAAAAACATATTTTCTTTTGCAAGTTGATCAACACTTTTGTTTGTATTTGACTATACACAATGTAATTGTAAAAATTCACTATGTGTATGTGTACATCATTTGGTGAAACTCAAACACTTTTGCTGTTAAATGCATAAATTCATAATGTGAATCTTGGATGTGTATCTCACAGTGAATCTGTTAAAAAAATGTTTGTTTTTTCTTTTGCAAGTTGATCAACACTTTTGTTTGTATTTGACTATGCACAATGTAATTGTAAAAATTCACCATGTGTATTTGTACATCATTTGGTGAAACTCAAACACTTTTGCTGTTAAATGCATAAATTCATAATGTGAATATTGGATATGTATCTCACATTCACACGGATTCACAATGTGAATCTGTTAAAAAAATGTTTGTTTTTTCTTTTGCAAGTTCATCAATACTTTTGTTTGTATTTGACTCTGCACAATGTAATTGTAAAAATTCACCATGTGTATGTGTACATCATTTGGTGAAACTCAAATACTTTTGCTGTTAAATGCATAAATTCACAATGTGAATCTTGGATGTGTACGTCATATTCAAACAGATTCACAATGTGAATCTCTTAAAAAAATGGTGTTTTTTTTTTTTTTCAAGTTGATCAACACTTTTGTTTGTATTTGAGTATACACAATGTAATTGTAAAAATTCACTATGTGTATGTGTACATCATTTGGTGAAACTCAAACACTTTTGCTGTTAAATACATAAATTCACAATGTGAATCTTGGATGCGTATCTCACATTCACACAGATTCACAATGTGAATCTGTTAAAAAAATGTTTGTTTTTTCTTTTGCAAGTTGATCAACACTTTTGTTTGTATTTGACTATACACATTGTAATTGTAAAAATTCACCATGTGTATTTGTACATCATTTGGTGAAACTCAAACACTTTTGCTGTTAAATGCATAAATTCACAATGTGAATCTTGGATGTGTATCGCACATTCACACAGATTCACAATGTGAATCTGTTAAAGAAATGTTTGTTTTTTTCTTTTGCAAGTTGATCAATACTTTTGTTTGTATTTGACTATGCACAATGTAATCGTAAAAATTCACCATGTGTATGTGTACATCATTTGGTGAAACTCAAAAACTTTTGCTGTTAAATGCATAAATTCACAATGTGAATCTTGGATGTGTATGTCATATTCAAACATATTCACAATGTGATTCTCTTAAAAAATGTTTTTTTTTTTTTTTTTTTGCAAGTTGATCAACACTTTTGTTTGTATTTGACTATACACAATGTAATTGTAAAAATTCACCATGTGTATGGGTATATCATTTAGTGAAACTCAAACACTTTTGCTGTTAAATACATAAATTCACAATGTGAATCTTGGATGCATATCTCACATTCACACAGATTCACAATGTGAATCTGTTAAAAAATTTTTGTTTTTTCTTTTGCAAGTTGATCAACACTTTTGTTTGTATTTGACTATGCACAATGTAATTGTAAAAATTCACCATGTGTATGTGTACATCATTTGGTGAAACTCAAACACTTTTGCTGTTAAATGTATAAATTCACAATGTGAATCTTGGATGTGTATGTCACATTCAAACAGATTCACAATGTGAATCTCTTAAAAACATATTTTTTTTGCAAGTTGATCAACACTTTTGTTTGTATTTCACTATGCTCAATGTAATTGTAAAAATTCACCATGTGTATGTGTACATCATTTGGTGAACCTCAAACTCTTTTGATATTAAATGTATAAATTCACAATGTGAATCTTGAATATAGCTCATAGGCTAACAGATTGACAATGTGAATTTCTAAAAAGTTTTTGCAATATGATCATCACATGTTCAATTTTATATTGTTTGACATGTATTAATACTACTTATATTTTTTACATTCATATTAAAATTTTCACATTATGTAGTTGAAGATTCAAAAAAATATACAAAAAACACAGCAAGGAGAACCGTGGTGGAAATAGTTAATAAGTTAAGAAAAAATGAAGATGAAAAGACTATTGAAGGAAATGTTGAAAAATAAAAAGTTTAGAATTTGACAGTGTTTTAAAAGGTGCGCCATGACGGGCGCCAAGGCGCGCCATGGCATTACGCGCGGCGTCGCCGTTACGAAAAGCTTCATAACATTGCTGTTAGGTGTGGCATGTGGCAAGGCGTGATATGGCGTTCCATAGCGCGTTATGGCGTGTTATGGAGCGCGTTTTTTTCGTTTAAGACACGTTTTTTTTGCTCTTTTTTATACATTTTCTAATCAGACATACAAGTATTGTGTTTTTTATTAACTTTCTGTTATTAGTTGTTGATATAACACTTCTAAAAACTAGGGATATTTGATATAAATTTATATTTATGCGGTAATATAATTATAAATTAATACAAAATCGCCGCCTTACATTACGCCTTGAAAAACGCCATGGCTCGCCATAACTCGTTAAGCTTGAGGCTTGGCCTTGCCGCCACGCCACGCCTCACGCCTTTTAGAACTTTGGAATCTGATGAGATTCAAAAAAAGCAAAAAAAAAAATGATGAAGCAAGATGAATCTGTTTTGAAGACACTTGAAAAGAAAACAACTAAAGGTTAGTATTTATAAAATTATAATTTACTTTGATATATAATACTAATTATCTTTAATCTTTTTTAAATGAACAGAAATCAGACAGAGTCCAAGATTACATAAAAAAAAAAACGAAAAAGTCGATGAAGCAAGAAAATTTTGTTTTCAAGACACCTGAAAAGAAAACAACTCAAGGTTAGTATTTATAAAATTATAATTGAATTTGGTATTATAAAATTAATTCTTTATAAATTTGTTAAAACATGAACAGAAATCAAACAGAGTCCAAAACTTAAAATGATTGAATACAGAAAATTTGTGACTCCTATTAAAGTTGAAGATACCCTTGTAAAGAAAGAATCTAATGAAAAAATAACAGGTTTGTTTATTACTATTCACATGTTTAATTTACAAAGTTATAAATAAATTCACATGTTTATTTTATGTATTATATTATATTTTGCAAAACAAATTCACATGTGAATTTCTTGTATTGTTAGTTATTTTATATTATATATGTTATATTATGAGAAGCTTATGAAAATTATTGACTAACAGGAAAAAGAAAAAGAAAAACAAAGACTCTGGAAGTAGTCAAAGAAAAAAAGGCAAAAGTGTCAATAACTCCAAATGACAGAGTATCTTTGAGAACAAGAATGAGCCCATAGAAGTTTTATGATATTGTTAAATCTATAAACAAAGAACAGAGAAAAGCTATCAGAGAAATGAGATTGGGATCTTTGCTGAGAATTGCAACCAATGGAATTTCTGGGAAATTGGCACGTTTTGTTGTGAATTCATTCAATCCATCAGATATGAAATCCATATACCTAATGCAAAGATAGACATAACACCAGAACTTGTTCATGATTTTCTTGGAATTCCTCTAGGTGGAAAAGATATATATAACACTGATCAATGTGAAGGAAAAAAATTAATGGACTAGAAGCAACAATACGATTTCAAGGCTATGAGACCATCGGATGTTGAAGAGAAAATTAAAGAATCATCGGATTCAGGGATTATTTTCAGAACAAACTTTGTATTACTGTTTTGTTAATACCATTTGTGAATAGAATAAGCCTGGAAATTGTAAGACAACAATATTGCCACATTTGTTAGGCAAAACACCTATGAGAGAAATTGACTGGTGTGGTTTTATAACCAATTGCTTGAAAATATCAAAGACGACATGGGATGATACCGATAGAGGAAACTACTATTGTGTGCCACTTCTTGTATTATTGGTAAGGAAAATTCTTATAATTAACACTTTTATTTATATTATTATAAGAAAACTATTAATCATAATTTTGTTTACATAAACAGCTAGCTTATTTGGAGTTTACGAGAAATGATAAGAATGAAAAAAGACAAATACATGCACTACATTTTTGGGATTATGAAATGATGGTGAAAAGGGAAAAAGCTGAGTTAAAGAGTCGTGACTTTGGAACTTTGGAATGGAATGATGATGTTATAGAGAATGATGAAAAATCCGACACCAATGAAAATGAAGATATGAAACTCGATGTAAGTTAATAATCTATATAATTTAAAAAGATTGAAGTTAAATTACAGATATATGTTATAAAATTGTAGTTAAAATGAAATTCATAAAGTGATTCATATTGTGAATATAAAAGTGTATTTTATTACTTTCTTTATAATAAATTCACAAAGTGAATATGTAATTTATTAAATGCAGTAAAAATGTGATACCTCATCAATGCATTCATATTCTGAAACTGTAATTTATTATAGAAAAAAGTTAAAAAAAAATCATTTTCTTTGACATTTTTATCTCATTTCGCAGGAATTGGTATTCAAAGCGAAAAAGGATTACAAAAAACTAGTGAATGATAAAATGAAGTTTGGAAAGTTAATTGAGTTTTCAACAACAAAATTCATAGAAAGCGATGAGTTGAAAGATATGAAGAAAGTCTTTGAACAAGAAATCATTTATAAAACTCAAAATGAAGATGATGCAAAAGTGACACGGATGAAGATGAAAAAAAAAGCGAAGAGAATTTGAATGAACATGAAATAAAGAATCAAACAATTATTGTAACACCACGAAATCTGTACAATGATCCAATAGTGCATGAGATTGCTGATTCTATTCAATGTATTTTAAATTTTGATAATTATGATGATTTTGAAAATGTAAAAAGTTTTAGAGAACAAAAGATAGATGATAAAAAAATAAAAAAATACTAGAAAATCATCAATGCCTAGTTTTTCACTTGGACTGGGTCTTGGTCTAACACAAGAGTTTCAGGAAGGAGATGAAAGCAATGAAGATGAACACATGAAGAAAGAAATAAAAGATGAAAAACTTGATGAAGGAGAAAGTTATGATTCAGAAGAAACAGAATGTGACAACAATATCTTGGGAATTGAAGATGATGAAGACAAAAAAAGAGAGAGAAGTAGGAAAAAGACTAAAAAAACCATCACTGAAGCTATCTTCTCCTTATAATAAAAAACAGGTATGTGTATCAAAATTTGTAGATCCAGATGAAGTACAAGTATCAGATAGAATTTTTTCCAGAATTGGTAATAACAGGTAATAATTCATGTTATATTTTATTTAAATACAACAATATATAAAATACAAATACAAATTAATTTTCTATTAATTGTTTTTTTGTTTTATTTAATTACAAATTAAGTAAGAAGGTATTTCAGACTAAGAGAGGGTATGTGCTTGGAAGAGGAATGATTGAAACAATGCAGGCAGGATTATGGGTACATGCACATGTCATTGATGCTTGGACTGATATTTTGAACTATGAAGAAAAGCTTAAATCAAATTCTACACTAAATTGGTATTTATTTGATACATCAATTGTGGTAAGTTAATTAAAAAAATATATATCATGATAATGTTGATAATATAATAAATACAATTTTCAATAGTTCTGAATAAGTAATAAAATTCACATAGTGAATCCCATTATAATTCACAGTGTGAATAATTTTAAATTTTAAATTTAACTTATTGTGAATTTAACAATTTACTCTTTAAAGATTGATGTATATTTAATGTTATTTGCAGAGACAGTTCATATTTGACAAAAATATCCCTTTCAATCAAAGATTTGATAAATTTGAGTCAAATATCAAAGATGCAATGAAAAAGGACAAACAACTTCTGACATTTGAAAAAGTTCACTTGGTAATAAACTGTTCTTTTTGTTGAATATATTACATATTTTTAACAAAGTTTAACAATTTAAATTATTAAACAGGTGTTTTTACTAGTTCATAAAAAAAATCACTTTTACATCATCTGCATAAACTTAGAGGAACCAACGGTTGATGCCATTGATAATAGAAATTCAGTTGCAAAGTTTTCTAGAGCTTATCGTGATGCACCTAATGAATTGGTAAGAATATTAAATTTACATTATAAATATAAGTATTAATAGACTGATAATCTAAATAAAATAATAACTATAGAAAATTACAATTGCTTTTTTGTAGAAAATACCTTTTAGTAGGTACTTGATGAGGGTCAATCACAAATCAGCTTTAACTTTGGAGGGTGTTGAACCAGAAAGGGTGAACATGAATTGGTGCACGAGGGATAATCATGTTGACTATGGATTTTTTTGCATGCGTCATTTGGAGACATATATTGGAGATAAAACAGTAAATTGGACACGTGGATTACCAAAAGAATCAAAACAACAACAAAGTGTGTTAAACGATTTACGCATTAAGTATTTGACAAAGATACTATTGAGTGACGTAAACACACAGAGGTTAAAAATCATTGCACAAACAACTAAGTTTGCAAAAAAGACTAATGAATAAATAAAAGATTTGCTCGACAAGGGATGGGAAAAAAGGGGAGAAAGGATATAGTACTTCAAGGATTGGAAAAAGAAGTGTAAAACTTAAAACTTAGTTTTCTATTCATTATTAGTATAAGTTTAGATGCACTTTAATTTCTTTAAGAACATATACATGCTTGTTATGTTACAATTTGATGGTAGTTTCTATATCAAATATAATGAACTTTACTAAATACTTAAAAGATGTTTATATTTTCATGTGAATGTCTACATGTATGTTATACAATTACATGTTTTATTAAAAATATGATATTGGTGTGTGGGTGGGGGGAAGTGATTATATATCTACTCTGAATAAAGAATTGAAAGTACATTGTCATTTCATACATTTACTTGATTTCTTTTGGTTTAAATGATTAGATGTTAATGTAATAACAATACAATATATGTAGAAAATTTACATTGTTATATGTTAACCTTGTGAAAATTTTATATGTAAGATTAACTATGTGAATTACAGTACATATTATAACATGTATATTTTATATGTGAGGTTCACAATGTGAATTATGGTACATATAGATCATTAAAACAATTAATAGTTGAGATTCACGATGTAAATTAAATTACATTAAGACAATCTTTAACATGAAAATTTTATTTATGAGATTATCAATGATAATTAATATACATAAATAAAATCATTAGCATGAAATTTTTATTAGAAAATATTCAAAAAACTAACAATAAAAAAATATCTTTAACCAAAAACAATAAATTTGAAAAAAATATATTCTATTATTAGAAATAAACTCTAAAACAATGAATATCAAAATTAACATCAATATTTCAACATTTCTGTCCATTGAATGACCATTACAAAATATCAAATCTTATTTTAGTTGTCTTAAAAAGAAAAAATTAGAAACAATCAGCCTTCTGTAACCTTAGATTCTAAATCAGACTTCTTAAACCTCAAAATGCAACTCCTAGCATTGTGATTTGGTTTACGACATAAACTGCACAACCTTGTACCCCTTTTAGATTTCTCAATCACTTTCTCTCTAGTGTTGTTGATTCTTTTACCACTAGCTCATCCCTTGTTTCTGATCCCCTCTAGATTATGAATGTTGATAACATCAGGTACTGCAGCTCCAATAATTTTTTCAATGTGAACTGATCTACTCGAAGATGCCCTTGATGAGGCACATAAAGGAATACCACTATCAACCTCCTAAAGTTGCTTTATATATTTAGCCAACTAATCCTCATTATTTGCTATCTTGTTAATAGACAAACGAAGAATAACATATGCATCTTGAATCAAACATTCATTTTTACTGCCTTTATGAGGATATAAGTACTTTTTTCTCAACAATCCATCAGCTATGATATCTTTTCCCCATCTCCTCAAAATGAAATTTGATGGAATTTCATCATACTCTTTCATATGTAATATGAAAAACATATAACGACATAACAATCCTTCTTGGACAAAAAGCATGCAGCTGCAACTGATGCTAATGCTATCACCCCTTCTACTAAATACAACCTATAAATTATCATTAATAAACAAATTAATATGTGAATAAGAAATTCTATCTCATACCATTCGATAAAAATATACAAATTAACATCAATTCACATTATTAATCAATAGGTCATTAGAAATCATAATATTATAATATAAATATGAAGTTCAAATCAAATTCACAAAAAAAAACATATTCCATAGTAATCTAATGAAAAGTACAAACCAATTTATAACTCTATAAAAATTCACACTATTAATTAGCAAAACATCCTACATTCACAGTGTGAATTTTGAAACTACATTTTATATTTAATAAACTATATTAGGACAAAGAGACATATATTGTAATGAGTATTAGGACAATGAGAAGGAAGACTATTTCGATAAAAGTCATCAGATTCTTCATCCTCATTCACATTTTTATCAATCAACTTTTTTTCTTCTTATCTCTCAAAACATAAACTTCACTTTCATCTTCAATAACTACATATTCTTGAACACAAGAAAACACTGATTTATATAACTCTTTCTAAATGTCCAAGAAAATATTATATGTATAAATTTCCGATGCATGCTTTTCAATAGCCAAAGGAGTCCTTAGCTTGGGGGCAGTAGTTGTGGACTGATAATCTAACACTACTAGAAAAATAGCCTTTTACGACACACAATCTACGACACTCAGTGATTTATGTTACGCAAAAGGGAGTGACCTTAAAATGGTGTCGTCTAATCAAAAAATTTAAGCATTTAGGTCATGCATTCTTGCGTGCCCTTAGATTATCATCTTAGTGAAAAAAATCAAAAACACGGAGGGCACATGTGTGTCATCTAAGGATGTTGCTTTATAAATTTTAGTGGAAGCGCGTGTTCCATCCTTTTTAATAGCAGGGGGAAATGAAATCCTAAAAAATTAAAAACCTTGCATTTCATCCATCTTTTAGGGATTCCATGTAAACCCTAGACCTCATTTAAAGGTTTCGTTCTTAGTTAAGTTGTTTCTGTTCGGGAAGGAATAATGAATTCATCATCTCCACCAGCCGACAAGCTTCACTCTTTGCTTCTCCTTTTCTCTGTAAACCCTAGACCTCATTACGCGGCTGCAACTCTTCCTCCCTTTCGTATTTTTGGAGCTTGGCAGGCATACAGTAGTCAACGATGTCAACTATCCTCTTTTATCCACCATTTTCTCCCTCTGAGACATTAAAGACACGCCATCCCAAAATTGGAAGAACTAGGGATTTTGTGCTCTGGATCTCACAGGAAACAAGTTTGCCTCGTCCCCACCCTCACCCATCCAAATTCCTTCTTCTTCAAATGATTATATGTTCTTACCTCTTAACTGTACCTGAATCAATATATATGTCTCTCTTGTGTCTATTCTCTCAATATCTCTTGCACTTTCCTATTTACAGCCAGAGTTTGAGAGTGAAAAGAAAAAAGAAGATAGAAAAGATGTGCCTATTATTCCTCTTTCTCCCTCTTTTCTTCCTCTGGTTCGATCAAAGCCCTTCTTCTCCCTTCTTCTTCTTCTTATTATTTTTTTCGATTTCCAGATGAGGTTGTGTTCGAAGGTTGTCAAGGGGTTATGAGGAGAAGGGAGAAGAAGGGTTGTGATCTCTTCTTATGAAAGAGGCGATGAATCTACCACGAGGCGGCACAAAAGCAACTAGACTCATCCACATCGGCAAAGAAGGTAAAAGAGGAGTTCTAAAAGAGAGAAACAGAAGAGGAGAGAGAGGCGGAAGATAAAGAAAAAAGATTAAGATAGAAGGAAAATAAGCAGGCACTGGAGATCAAATTGAGAGGCAAAAGGAGGGGTTCAGATTCAGAAGACTTCATCGTTTTAATTTCATCTTCATTGAGTACAAGTCGGCGTCGATTGGGTCATACAAACCGACGTGGCAACTCATTCCTTCATCTCAATGCGCCATCACACCCCTAAATCTCAATTTCACAGACACATGTCTTTGATTTTTTTTGTCTATTCCTTTTTTTCTCCTTTTTGAATCCCTTTCTATCGCGTTACAGCAAAAACACATTTTCAATTCCGAAAAAACCCCTAAATATGACCTAGTCGGCATGTTTAAAACGATGATTCTGATGATACCATCTACTGAGGAAGAAGAAAGGAAAAATGATGAGGCATCATAACATCATCATTGACCACCGTCCACATATTCTCCTTAAGTCGAAACCCTAAATATTGTGGTGGTGCGTTTGATAGTGGCAAATATGGAGACACCAAAGTGCTTGTTAATGGGTTTAACGATAAATCCAGTACGCCCATGAGAGGTTCCCCATACCACTGTTTCCTTCGGTTTTCTATCTTTCTTATATATAAATTTCTTTTTGAAATTGTAGGTTTTGTTTGTTATATGTTGAAATCGCCCCCGCTTTTGATGTTTTCTCTTTTGTAAATATGGTCGAAGGGGATGGGTCTCAAATTCTATTGAAAGCTCGATTTCCATGGGATTTATGGAGTATAAACTCTCATACAAGTTCTCGTATCCCGAACACCAAAAGAAACGAGTAGACATATGCTTTTTGTTTCTCTACCCCATTCTATAAAGTTTTCTATATTTTATTTAAATTTACTATTCACCAAGAATTCCATATGTGATTTTTTAGGGAGGGGGTTTGAACGTGTGATGATATTCGGGATTACAAAGAACATGATATAAGGGATTTGGTAGCTGCTCAATGTCTTGGATATCTATGATTTTATACCTCGCTCACAGGTATCCATCTTAAAACTCATTAAATTTATAACTTTGTTTGGACAATGTTCTTTTCTATGATACAATTGGACTCATATTCCAGGTTCATCATAATAATTGCCTTTATTAACTATTATATCTCATCCAAAGTTTGAAGTTTTCTTGAAAAAAACTAAGTTAGATATATAGGTTCAGTTGAGTCTGGAGAGTTTGTTCCATGAGAGTCCATTTATTTCTCAATTTTTTGGGCACCACTACATTTGGTGATTAAAGTGATACAATATGTTTTACTTTTCCTGTATTTTCTATGAGATCGAAATAGCTAATGCGCATATATAAGGAAGTCGTTGTAATGTTTTTATGCTCATTATTGCTTTAAATTAAGAAACACACTTATCATGATATCTTATGTTGTTGACCAGTGTGGAGTTATTAATTCTAAGGACAAGTGTGGGACTCCGGTTAATGAAGGTCCACGATTCTGAATGTTGTACCTTTAGAAACGGTGAATATGTGAAAGGAGGCTTAGGTCAGTTAGAGCAATGGTGAACTCAGATCACAACATAGGTAAATGTTGAAGTTTTTTTCTTATTATAATGTCTTATGATAAGTTTTTTCTTAATTACAGGTTTCATGAGTGTAGTACACTGATAAAATGTTAGGGTTATTTTTATTGTTAATGTAGCAGTGTGATAGTATGGTTATGTAGTTCCAGGTATAGAGATTAATAAAGGGGCTACATGAGGAGAAGTCGCAGCAGAAGCAGGGACATATATTATGGAAGGGACAATGACAGTAGGAGTAGGAGCCCTGATTATCATAAAAGACAAATAAGTAAATGCCCTTATCATTGATATCTTTAAAAACAAGTATTTGTCTATTATGTATTTACAATAAGTTATGTTGCATATAAGGAAACAAATAAAGGTAACTAAAGGGAGTTTATAGTAAATTAACAAATTGATCATTGATCTAAAATATTTTAATTTTGCTATACAGGTGAGAAACCTACTTTTAACCGAATGCCTCGTTTGTGGTCCCCTCTTTCTGACTTTCTGCTTCCTAAACACGGCTGCAATCGCATACACAGCCACAACTGCACTACCCTTTGGTACAATTGTTGTGATTGTTTTGATATAGAGTTTGGTGACATCACCTTTACTGGTTCTCCGGGGTATTGCTGGAAAAAACAACAAAGCTGAATTCCAAGCTCCTATTCGCACCACAAATGAAATGAGCTGATTCCAGAAGCCCTTTGCAGCGTTTTGATTATGATGTAATGACCAAAATTGAATTCGTAGTTTGGTGAAAGGGATCCATTTATTATATTCAGACTTTTACCTCTTGATAAAAGTGTAAAATTGTCATACTTGAGGAAACAGACTTAGTAAAGTGTCAAAACGAGACTAAATTACGATTTTACCCCTGTTAAAAAAACAAATTTCTTGATATTCATCAATCTCAACATGGAAACAGTTGAGAGGTAAAATGAATAAGAGCAAAGAAGTAAAATGTTAGTGTGTTAATGAGTTTTAGTTAGCCCATGATGAGAACAAAAAAAATAGTTTTTTTTATTTGTTACACAAAATTTATGTTTCTTTTGGGATACATTGGAGGATTAGGACGAGAAGGGCATTTGTGCAAGGGTAAAATTCAGGCACACTGCAGGACCAAAAAGCTATGCCAGAATCCCTGTGGAGGAGGTGACATTATACTTGTTTTTTTTTTTATACTTTTTAAGGTTATTCCTTGTAGAAAATACTATCATAATGACCATTATGCCCTTTTAAACCGTGACAGAAGGCAAAAAGGCCTGATGGGTAGGAACCCTCACAAGCAGAACTATTTATATTGACTCGTACACTTAAAAATGGAAAACCTGTGAATGAAGCCACAGCTACTGTAAGTGAATGAGTTTATTTATTTATTTATCTACTGTGTTGAAAATTGATTATTATAATTTTGGATTAACACCAATCTTTTCTCTTTAATTGATGGTAGTTAAATCATTTTATTCGTTCATCCTAATAATATATTATCTTGAATGCCAGATTCGGTGACATGGACCTTCATCTTGATGATAGTGTTACAACATTGCTTCAATGTTGCTTTAAACTGTCGGCTGTTAAGTTGTTTATAACGATTTGATTTTTGCAAACTAGTAAGTTTTTCCGTAACTTGATAATTTTTAAACATGGATTGTGTAGGTGTATTGTTCTTGAAACTTGAAAGTTTCTTTTCCTGTTTATAGGAAAACAAGGATCGAACACTCTATCAATTGGTCAAGATTCACCTACTGGACCCTTAAGTTCCTAGTTTTGTTTTTATGATATAAATTATACCCACTACAAAGTATTGTTTTCCAACTCTTCCTGCATCCCTAATCATATCATCTATAAGCTCAACATTTTTATTCATATGTTGAAAGAAGGACATGGCATACAATATCCCTAGACAATATAGTTGTTATTTATGCTTTAAAGTGATTCAATTTTACACTTTTCTTCAGGAACAAGAATATTAAAGAGGTGGAGTGAAGAAGGTAAGTAGGTGAAGGTGCCCTATCTGTGATGGGCCCATGCCCAATGGATTTATCCAACAGTAATCCGTATAGTAGGAGTGGGATTCTGACTGCAGCTAGCACAATCATTAGCACTTTTCTTTTAGTGTTTGTAGATGAATAGGGTGATAAATCATTTTTCTCTACAATTGGTAAGTAATTGGTCTTAAAGAATTAAAGATTTTGTTTGAAATTACTACTTAAAAACTACAAAAATATAACCATTCTTTGTTATTCTTAAGCTAAATTAAGATTTAAGACGTTGTGTTTATTTAGCTCTTACTGCAGCCTTGTCACCCCTTGGTGTCATTGGTGTGGCCTAGCTGGTCATGGACTTGCAACTCTGGTAATTTATTAATTTATATCATTTTTTATTTTATTTTTTGTGGTTTATTAAACTGAAGAATATGAATTATTTGTGGTATATAATGAAACCAATTCTTGCAGTTAGCTGTTCTTGGAGGGTTCTTTTCCTTGTGTTGCAGCAATGACAGTGGTTGAAATTGTGGGTTAGAATCTGTTTCTTTCTTTCCTTCAATTAAGTTATTGAACTTTTTCATAATATTTTAATTTTGTAAGGTGATTGCTTCATATGATTATTAGCAGATTTTTAGGGATTTAGATTCTACTTTTTTTTTGGGTAGTTGCTATTTAGAGGTTGATGTTTCTTCTAACTTTCCTACATACTGACATACATATATCCGTATCTGATTATTTTAACCCAAAATAAATACATTTTTGTCCCCCGAGTTTAGCTAATTTTTTTCCAAGAACTTCTCGAATGTCTAGTTAGACAATTTGGGAAATTTCAGATCACATTTTTTTGTAAAATAGGTAATCAACTTAAAAATTTCTTAACAAAGCCATTACCTTAAACAATAACCACTATTGTTGTTGCCGATATTGTTTCCTTCGTGTTGTTTTAATGGAAGTCCCACCTCCAAGAATGCTATTAACAGAAGTTGAACTCCATTACAAATTATTCCATGAGTTACTATATATGTATTAAATTTTAATACTTTATAACATAGATTGATGATGATTGAAGCCTTTCTGAATACTAATGTGTTGATGATGAAAACAGGTATCATGTGGAAACAGAAGCATAACAATACGAAGTAGAAACAAGAAGGTGTTCCTTAATAGCAATGTAATTACTATATAGTCATTCAATGTAATTACTTTTGCTCACTTGATGTTATCCAATCATGGTTTATATTTGTTTTATCTTTCCATGGAACGATTATTTGTATAACATTAAATTTATGCAATGGATTCTATTTTTTGTATATGATATTTTATTTTCTATTATGAAACATTAAATACAAATTTAATTTGAAAATAAGTAAATCTATAAATTATATTTTTTTTAAACATTTAAAATTATGATACGCAAAAATGTGTGTCATCTTCATTTATGACATGGCCTTTCTTGACAGGTGCTTTCTTGATACGCATTGCGTGTCATTAACAAGCACGTTGTAAAGTTACGACACACAAATGCGTGTCGTCTTGCTTTATGACAGGGGCTTCTTTGATACGCATTGCGTGTCGTAAACGCGCGTCGTAAATGAGCGTCGTCTATAGTGCGTCGTCTCTCTTTATGACAGGGCCTTCCTTGACGCGCATTTACGCGTCGTCTGAGCCTTTTACGACGCGCAATGAGCGTCGTAAAAGGCTGTTTTTCTAGTAGTGTAATAAAGATTGATGATGCCTTTGCTTCTCCATTACACCATCAAACGACATCATGAACTTCACCAAATTTGATTTTTGATGCAAAAAAAGTGAGAAAGCATTATTCAGACTCTCTGATCTTGAAGTAGTTCGCATCAAACCAGAAAGTTCAAGATCTCTCATAAAAGTTGGAATCCATAAATCCCTTATTTTAAAAAAGACCTTAACCAGCCATTTTCTTTTAGATGAAACTTATCTAACATTGTTGACCACAAACTTTCAAAATCTTGTGGAGAACATTGAAGATTCCATATAATATCAAAAAATGTTTTCTGGAAGTCCAGATGGTTATAAACATCGATAGGAATCTAAAAAAAAAGAAACACATAAGAATCATTACATATGTTGAATATTTGATGTAATTCATATTAACATAACATTTGGTTCACATTATGAATTCACAGTGTGATTTATGATTTAGATTTGTTCCTTTCATCATATGAAAATTTACATTGTGAATTCACTATATGCTTTATGATCTATATGGTTACAAAACATATATAGGAATCAAGAAACAAAAAATATACCTTTTCCTCAAGTTTTTGAGTGATGTGCCACATGCATAGTCTATGCTTCGATTCAGGAAAAACAAAATTAACAGCTTTCTTCATTGATGAATCCTGATGTGTTACAATCATCATGGGAGGCTTGACAAATGATTTACAAAACACTTCAAGCAACCACACATGTGCATCTGATATCTCACGAGCTAGTAAACTAGCAGCAAAAGTAACACAATGCTTGTGGTAGTCAACTTCAGTAAAAAGAACAAATACCATAGAATACATGATTTTTTTATAGGTATTATTAAAAAGAACAAATACCGTAAAAAGAACAAATAAGGATTAGGAATTACTTGTTTGTTTGATAAGTAGCATCAAAAGATAGTACATCTCCAAATTCCTTATAGTTGGCTTTCGAAGTATCATCAGCCAAAAAAAGTCGAGTAAGATGATCATCAACATCTTTTTGAAGCTCAAATGAAAAATTAGAGAAACACAATTTTCTGTTTGTCAATATATCCATAACCATTTGGGAATCTTTGACACCAATTTTACAATTTAAATCCCTATGAAAATTTTTAAAGTCAACTGCAGTCCCTCCCCTAGAATCAAAGCCACCCTTCATACTACTCACCAAGTTATAAGCTTTTGAAGCACCAATGTTACAAGTACCAACCTTATGTATAAAGGATTCATCAAGAAAATCCATTGTCCTATTAATCCTTAATAAGTGCAACTGATCTTGAGCAACAAGTTCACGGTTGTGATCTTCAACAAACACATAAATGTAGAACATTAAAGAACATCGGAGATTTTTGAACTTTGAAACAGCAGGGCATCCGTTCTTCTTAGAAGAAGTCCTCATTCTCTTAACATCTGAAAATTTCTTAACATTTTTAATCTTGAATGACTCCGTGAAACCAGATCTACTACATGTCGAATATCTAATACGAATTGTTCCATCATTGTATCTTTTTTGACTTGACATATTAACATCAAAACCACATTCTTGACCATAAGTCTTGTAAAAGTCAAGACCAATGTCCAATGAATCAAACATCTATCCTTTGAAAGGCTTTTTATGTATCAATTTATCATAAGGAACAAGCTTAAAACTTTCAGTATTGTAGAGCTCAAAATCAAAACTATAACGAGAATTACTGCTATTTGAATGATCAATATTCATACTTGAAGATGATTGATCATGAACTGCAAAACCAAACAAAACATTTATTTTATCACATTATATAGAAAATGTGAAATTTATATTAAGAAAAAAAAAAGTTACGTGATTGTTCATTAATAGTTGAATGCAAATCTGAACAAGAATTCAAAGAACGCATAATGAATCGTCGATAACCTGGAGTTTATATACAGATTAGAAATTTAGAATTGATAATTATACAAAAAAGGAAACAAATAAACAAGATAATCACAAAACTTTAAAATATATGCATAAGATAAGATAAGATTCTCAAAATCACTAAAAGTTTGAAAAAAACTTAAATGTCAGAAGATGCACAAGATATAATTGATTATCTAAATGTCGAATATGCATTACAGAGGAATGATTACAAAAACGGTCGAATGAAAAACAGTAACATCAAACGCAAATTCAACATACGACTTAAAAATAACAAATTAACAATAAAAACATAACAATTTGAAGATTAAACGGCAAAATCAACAGAATTTGACAATAGACGATTACAATAACAATAAAAATAAGTTGATAAACAATGCACCGGAATTGACCTAATAATCATAAACGAAAGATGAATAGATATTAAAAATACCTGATTATTAGCTGAAGTCTGAAGAAACTATTAGTAAATTGGATGAAAAATGTTGATTTCGAAGAACAGCCGAGATTTTGGATTGATCGATGAAGGACAGTGACAGAAGACGCTAACGGGGACAAACATCAACATTAGATTAGACGTTGAACTTACCAAAATGTCCCTCCGTGTTTTTTGGTTAATTAAGGATTAATGGCCAAGATTAAAAGAAAATAGATGGTTAAGATGGGTTCCTTGGTTCTTTGATCCATATTGGTTCTCTATTGAAGTTTTCCATATATATATATATATATATATATATATATATATATATATATATATATATATATATATATATATATATATATACCGTTTCCTGTTACCCGTTACTAACTAGTTTTTTCCAAATACGTCCCAATAATCCTAATTAACACTAGTAAAGATTTAAGTATGTGTTTAAATACAAAGAAAAGTGTTCGCCTTCATCTCCAATATTACTCATTACTTTGAAATGCGAAGACATTCTATTATTTAAAAGCTTTTCTCGTTTCCTGATCTCCAAATGCACCAAAGAGTTGATCTCTAAATGCACCACAGTGTCGACATGAAAGTTGTGTGTACGATTTTTATTTGCAGTATAGGTTTACGAAACTCCAAATGATAGACTAAAATTTATTTAACCAAAGTTGCCCTTATGGGTTGTAAGTTGAACCATGTGATTTTTTACTCCTAACCAACGGAGTGAAATTACAGGAAACCAAAAGATGATCAAAACATTCTTCAAAGGAACCGTAATGTGATAGACAATGGCAGACCTTAGTGGGAGCTACCCCTCAAATGTTTTTGCACATTAAAAGCTTTTTTAGAACTTTTATGGTATATTGCAAATTTACGGGTGTGATACCCCTGAAAATTACGTCTGCTAGTGACAGAGGGTACTGATGACAGTTAAACGACAATTTAAGAGAGCCACGAGAGAGGGAATACGACTCATAGTTGCTCCCCATCCGACAGGTCAAATCTTTATAGGAACCCCATTGTTTAAAAAATTGTTCTCCGAAAGGAATTTAGTGTGAACTCTGCAACGTTATTCCCCAACCATAACTACTTGTCATCACTCCTTGATAAATTAACCTTCAACACAAGATTAGAGCGTTGTTGCAATTGATTTAACTCCTCAAAAGATTGAGGAAATCGTTTCCAGCCCTAAAAATTGAATCAGATGGCTAATAAGCATGCACTTATCTTCTACTTTGCATATTTTGGAGGATTCAAGAGTATTGGGAATTTTGAACATAAAGGGGAAAAGTCAATCCATTTGATCAAACCAAAAAGAGAGACTATTGCCTCGGCCAATGACATCCTTGAATAAAGAAACATAATACTTGTTAAAGACATCAAGATGCATCTGAACTTTAAAGATAGCTATCCAAACACATGAAATATCCATTTTTGTCGGGATAATTTTCCAAACCCGATTGTTAAAATATACGGAATCTATAATTTTGACCCAAAGGGCATGGGTCATTTTTGTATCCAAATATCTTATTTAAGTAAAATCTATGTGATAGACCTCTTATTTTATTTAAAAGTTTTCTAAACAAAATTTAACTAAAGATATGCATCATTTACCAGGTCTCTGGGCTAATGGTATGGTGAGATACTATGACTATATTACTTTGCCAAATATTTTTTAAATACATCATTTACGTGCGTCCTATTTCTAATTACTTTGCCAAATACTTTTTTTAAAAATGACTCGATCAAACATAATTTTACTTTTTTTCCGTTTCAAGTTAAATATATCATAGTTTGGCAAGCTTTTGTTTTGGTATTATTTAAGACATTAAGTTGGTTCAAAATATATTTTATTTCATCTTTAATATAAAGTTATCTAATATTCCATATGCCCTAAACAATGAACTTCACTATTGTTTGAAAATTTCAACAAAAATAACATATTTTCCTGAAAATATTTATCTACAAATTTATTTATTAATGTACTGATAATTATTATTCGAGGTCATAAGCTTCTTTTAGCTCTGACTTATGAGAAAAATATTTTAAATGCTTAATTATTAGTTAAAAACGTTTATTAAATAAAAACATTTTGCACGTTTACGGTTAGGTTCAGCTTACTTCTTACTTTCTTAGCAGGCTCGTAACAGTTTGCTTGTGTACATGAGCCCAGTGTTCAACACTTTGGATCTCTTTAGTTTAATAATTTCTAAAAAGAAACAATTAACCTTTTTTCATATGAACCACAATATTTTTTGTTTTGTATTTTTGGGTGACGATAATAAACCTCATATGAGGCAACTTTTTTGACATGATAGGAAATTTTCAGACCCACATACCCGAGGTAGACATGTGGCCAACAAAGAGCTTAAGCTGATGAGAATCGAACAAGGGACAAATCTTTTAAAGTGTTTTCCAACTCTTTTACTACTCAATCATCCATATAAGGCAAAAGTTGTTCACTTACAAATTTTCATATTTCGAAAACAATCTATAAATAAATAATGATTTGAAATTTGGGCTTTTGTTCCTATTTTTGTTAACCATCAATATATAGTTTATTGATTTATATCCAAACTAATTGTGTCTAAACTCATTGATAAAGATGTTGATCATCAAAAACTTCCGAAAATAAAATGTGTCCATGAGCACATATGTCAAATTCGCCATTGCATATGAGTAATTACTTAAACAATCTAAACTCTATAACACGTGCCTAATTAAATTTTACGTTCATCGTTTTTTAAATTCGGCTTAAGTTAGGCTACTTTATGGGTAGCAATTATTTATCATAATGCAAACGTGACTCTTCAAAAAGGACAAACAAAAATGAACTTAAACTTTTTCCTTTAGAATTAGAAACTTAGAGTTACGATACATTTTTTATATCATTTAATGAACTTTCATATAGTTGTAATAAACGACCACTTTTCAACAAGTCCCATATTTATTTTTACATGATTGAACTAACTTAAGACTACCGAAGTTAATCAAATGTTCACGTAATAAAAAGATTTGATTCCAAATATAAACTCGCTCTCTTGTTTACCCTTTACCATTCCATTATATATGTTAATATATCGCTATCTATAGCTAATAGCCTAATATGAAACTTTATGGCCCATTTTTACTATTCGCAAATTCGCAAATGCCTCTCAAGTCTCAAGAATTAAATGACTATCATTATTAGTTGATGACAAACAATATAATTGAACATTTATTTTAAACTAAATTGGTAAAATTCATGAATTGGGAGTAGAGAACTTCTACTTTATGGATAGGGAATTGAACATGCCTTATTCGTATCTCTAAACAAAATTGGAGTTGGAAGAAAATAACCTCCAAATCCATAAAGGGTGACGTGGAAAAGCACCGACGGTAGTCACGTGACATCATAGTAATGAGTCATGTAGTCATGTGAAAGTGATAGGAATTCATTTTGGAAGGTGTTTGAATTATTCATATGGATCGGGTCATTAGCATGCGCGAATGATGTTGGTTGGAGGGCCCTACCCACTCCACTACAACAATCATACATTCCTTCACGGCAAAGTCATTTTCTTTTGAAAACATTGTCTTCTTTATTTTGGTAATGTAAGTATGATACAACCAATTTAGTTCCAACACAATAGATCTTTAATTTTTTTTATAGTTAATCTCACTAAAGTTTCAAAGATTATGTTAAGATAGTCAATTTGCAAGATTAAAAGGACAGGATAGATGCATTACTTAGTTGTCATCCATGCTACCAATTTCACCTATATTTGTCCACTTGTAAATAAAAGTGAGATTTTGTGTACTTTATTAATTGTCTTTTTATAATCTCTTATATATATATATATATATATATATATATATATATATATATATATATATATATATATATATATATATATATAGAGAGAGAGAGAAAATCTCTCTTAACATTTTCCAGACAGTTGTCTATTCAAAAACAACAAAGAGTAGTCAAGAATTTTGTAGCTAATGATCACCGTAAGTTTTCCCAACCATAAAAATGACATCTCTTCATCGTTCTTCCTCGAATATCCTATTTTTATGTCTCTAAAATTTTTGTTGATGTTAACTTCCGGAATAATTTGTTCATTATCCTATCTCATATTCAGATGTGATACACGTAGTGTTGAATGATGTAGACCCCATGTATGGATTTTTGTGAATTTATCGCTTTATCGAACAGTTTACACACGAAAGTTGTGAAAAACACCCATCATGAATTGGTAGTCAAGCTAATGAGGATATGTTG